CCCCAAAACCCCAAAACCCCAAAACCCCAAAACCCCTGGACTGGCTTATTCGGTAGAATTTTAATGGAAATGGGACTGGGCGTTGGAGAGAGTTAAGGTAATTGGGGTAGGGGTTTTATAGGGATGAAGGGGGCTTAGGTTGGTAGATTAGAGATGTGTTAGGGTAGGATGTGATGAGCATAGGTTGAGGGAAGATGGATTGGATTTATTGGACCTATGAAGGGTTTGGAAAGTGGTTTGTGGGGATGTAGGTTTGAGTTATGGGATCTGAGAGCTTAGATTGGCTTATATTATCTTCAAGGGAAATAAATTTAATAAAACACAGTGTAATTAAATTATTTAACAAAACAAATACCATTAACTTGCATCTTTACTTATCTTCTCTTCATCACAATTAAAAAATCTCAATAAAAGCTTAACGTTTAAAAATCCCATTATCTCTTCTTCCTACTGCCACCCATCTGGTTAGATTAAAAATCCTCAAACCCCTCAAAGAAGCCAGAGAGGTCTTTAAAGGTTTTGTGATAAAATTAACTACTCTTAAGTGAGTCTCATCTTTCTTTTAAAGAGGAAAGATTGAAATTATAGAGGAAGGTTAGGTTTATAGATGGTAGTTGGGATTCTATTTTGGACTTTACTCCGGATATCCCAATAGAGGATAATGAAAGTTTTAGAAATATTGCTGGAGGTGACAGGAGTTAATGTTTTTGAGGAATTTAATAAAGTTGTTTAGCATTTCGCGACAACTTTTGAGTTTGAGAGAGTTAAATATATAGCAATCTATGATGGTATATCTGTTTGTTTTGAATAGTGTAGATGAAGGAGTCTTGAAATTGAATGGATATATTGTATAATTGTCGATCTCTACTTCTTTAGTGTTCTTTGTATATAATAATATCTTATTCATATGTTTTTCTTTGATTTTCAAAAAAGATAGGCAGATCAAGCTTGATATTTCTGGTATAATTCTGAGAATTGAGGATGTAATTGAAGAAATATTTAGCTTTTTAATATAATTGATGAAGCCAATAGAGAAGTGGGTAAATCATCCTTTATGGAATTTCCGAATCTTATTGAAGTAATTTAGAAAGAATTTTTTGAATTTTGAAAAAGACAATCTTTAAATTAAGCCTTTGTATTTGTATCAATCCCAAAGAACAAAATTATATCTCTGTTTATGAATGTAATTACTCGAATTGAACTCAATTGTAAAGACTTTCTTCCGCATTGTTCTACCAATTTCAGTTCTTTCGTAATGTGTTTTGAATATTTGGCTAGCCTCGATAAGTTTGTGTTCTTCAATTAGCACCTCCTCTTCTAATTTTCTGGCCATACCAATTATCTAATTTATTTCCATTTCCTTAATTTTTCAATTTTTGAATATTTTATTGGGGTTTTGGGGTTTTGGGGTTTTGGGG